TCTAAAAAGTCGAATCATGGCAACAATACATTTTGTAGAGACACCCCTGAAGTTGGTGGGCAAAAGTTGGCACATTCCAAAGACTTTCTGACTCTCTGCCAAACTATTTTTTTTTTTTATTTTGACCTATGAAACTTCCTGGATGGTCAAATTCTGGTCCAGTTGTCATGATTCAACTTTTAGATTCCACCACGTTAATAGACAATGGACAAAATTTATATGTAGACATTGCTCCCAATTAATAGACCAATCCTGTTGCATCCTGATGTTTCATGCCATAGACCCTAATAAAAATAAGTCACTTCACCTTCATAAAGTTACAAAAAGGTGCAATTTTCATAAATTTGGATTTCATAGGCATTTATGTGTAATGCCTCTTCTGCAAAATGCCAGTTAAATCAGAGCTTCACCATGCATGCATTTTTTGGTAGTGATCAGTAATAAGAAACTTACCACCACCTTTTATAAATAATTTTAAAGCGCTTTCAAAAAATATTTGAAAATTAACTTTATCTAAAAAGCAAGGTACTATAAGTTACTTAACTCTTCTGTAAGATTTACTTAGCACGCTTAGCCTGCACGGGCTAAAATTATTCAGTTTATTTTTAAAAAAACAACACATAAGCCAGAATTTTTTCATACGTGAATGTCAGGCTGAATAAATTTCATTTAATTGATATTATGTAGATATTCCAATATATTATGTAAATTTTAACCAGATCTGTAATTTGACATATGATGCTTTTCCTGTTCTACCTCTTCTAAAAACTGAAATTCAGCTCTGCTTCATAACCAACAGTATTATTCAAACTGTTGTAATAGATACATCCAATGAGATAATACCCTGTTCAGGGTGTGTATTAATTCTACTTTGAGCTTTCCACTCATGTTACAGTTTCACTCACAAATTGACTTCCGTGGACCTTACATCATACTGAAGTGGTTAGTACGAGGGGGCGTGCATAAGTGCACTAAGGTGACTATCGTCCCTGTCATTGTATTTTTACTCTTCTTCTCATTTTTGTTGGGCAAATTCCAATAAATAAATAAATACATAAAACAATTCCAGTAGCGTAGAAATTTTGGGGTGAAAGGACCACTGCTATTATGCTGGTAGGAGTGACAATATGAGAACCACCACGTTCAACTCTTTGTAACCTCCTCTTCTCTAAGTTGTACTCATAACTCCTGTTATCTGTTTGATCCAGGATTTGCTATCTCATATGCTACATGTCGATCCACATCAAAGATATACCGCCGAGCAAGTTCTCAAACATTCATGGATAGCCTGTAGAGATCAGCTGCCACATTATCAGTTAAATAGGCAAGACGCACCACATCTAGTGAAGGTAAAGTTGGCAAAACTCAACATAGGGACGGAGATCTGTACCTTAATGAGGATTGTGGATGGTGGGTTGATTTGTCATTTAATGTCGTTATGTTCCAGGGGGCCATGGCTGCTACATATTCTGCACTGAACAACAAGACATTTCAGCCTATTTTGGAACCAGTTGCAGCGTCAGGCTTGGCTCAGCGTAGAAGCATGAAAAAACTCACATCCACAGACTTATAGGTCAGCTGGAACACAGAAAAGCAAAAACAAAACCCAGGAAACAGCTCTGTATTTGCCTGCCCTGTGAATTTAAAGGCATCTACCAGTTCCTCCTACACTACTTGAATTCAGTTGAAGAAAGGAAGGGAAAAAAAAAACTTCTAACAGTTTAGAGGATTTGTTGCTGTTCGTAGGTTGGTTTCAGTAGCACCAGGGTATTTCGCAACTGTGGTGAGGAATTTTTGGTACACATTTCATTTCAGAGATCAATCGCATTATGTTAATACTTTTAAATACTGTATAGTTTTCATCCGGTTTATAAAGATATATATTAGTTGACCAGAGACGTTGCTCAAGTTGTAAATTTCATTTCAGAAGAAAAGGTCAGTGTTTTAATATTTTTGCTATCTTGGCCCTATTGTAAAGACAAAGAAAAGAAATCATTAAACATGATGTGCTCTGGTTTTGTAAATCAATCCCCTTAACCGGCGGACTCCATGGCATTCGATTCGTGGGTAGGACCACCGAAATGGATATCCTAGTGCAAAATGCCCTTATCTTCTGTTGGTGTCAGGCAATTATGTGTAAAAAAAAAAAAAATCATGTACAGCTATAATAATCCATGAACATACACCAAGACGATAGTGTGTAAAGCCTTCATTAGAAGCTGTAGATTTGGTCAACCTAGCTGTGTCTTTCTTAAGGCTTTTGAAGAGTGGTGGTTGTTAGGATAATAAATAATCTGTTGTACTTAAACTTTATGTATGACTTCACCATCATTGGACCTTTTCAAGAAGGGGTAAGTAGATCTCTACTTGATATGCTACTTTAGATCAGGGGTGTCCACCCTTGGCAACTTTGAGGCCTGTGGACTTCAGCTGGCAGAATTCTCCAGCCAGCCATGGGAATTCTGGGAGTTGAAGTCCATAAGCCTTAAAGTTGCCAAGGTTGGGCATCCCTGCTTAGGTACAGAATAAGGTGTGCAGAGGTTTATACCACATGTGTGGACTCCCAGTATTCTCATGCCTGGCTGGATAATTCTGGTAGCTGAAGTCCACAGGCCTCAAAGTTGCCCAAGGTTGGGCACCCCTGCTTAGATATACAATATTCCTAGATACAAAATAAGTTGTGTAGAGCTTACATCCTATATCTAAAAGGCTACGAGTTGATATCAACTCGTCCAGTATTGTACTCTCATGTCCTGAGGCTTAGATTTGTTTCATCTGTGAACTTTGGTGTCACACAGTCTGTGCCCATTTCATTTAACCATAGAAGCACTGACATTGCATTTGCACTGACATTCTGGATTGAACCCTGCCACTTGATGGGTATTGAGACAAGACAAACTAAGCTACCTTGATTGGTATCGACACAAGATAAATTAAGCTACTTTGCTAATTAAGCTAACACATTTTGCTGTCTTCAATTGTTCTTCGGTTCTCACTGTGCCTGAATTTTCTCATCCTGGGACAGCATTTTATTCATCCTAAGTTGTAAGTTAATGATGTTTTTAATCACAAACCATATTTCACAACAGATTTTATTTATTTACACATTGGCAAGTTCTCTGAATTCCCATTTCTCTCTGATGTTTTGTAAACAGTTTAGAAGATAAATGCTTATGTTAATGGTCCCCCTCCCTTTTTTCTTCTTCTTTCCTTTTTAATATCGACTTTGTATCCCCTGGAAAAGTGCAAGCTTTGAAATATTCCTTGGTCTTTTCTAATCAAGTTTTAAATTCCTCATGAATCCATACATTCAATGGGAAGAAGAAAACCAATGAAGATTACAAGGATTACTTGGAAAAATTATGAAATTGGTCAGGTTAACTCATATTAGATCTAGATTAGTTTCAAACTGGCATGTTTTCTTAGAAAATGGACCTTAGAAGTCTCCCTTCCTCTTCCCTCAAAGAAAGATATTCCAATATGGATTACTGAGATATTTTATTGTGAAATGAGATTAATGCAATTGATCAATATCCTAATAATATAGAATCAGTTTTTTGGATGACCTTCCTTGAATAACCATTAATGAATTAGAGAACTCATTACAAGAAATCAAGAGAGTGCTGAATATTATGCTGAATAATATTTTATTCTTTTGTTTGGGATCAAATAAAACTGCTAAGACTAAAGTCTGAAAATATAATGCATTTGTTAAAATTCATTAAACATTTTCACAGAGTTATAAGAAACTGGAAATGCTG